TATATAAAAAAAACAAAGAGACAAACAATAAGAATGTTGTATAGGAATTGGTTGTCAAATAAAATAATGTAATAATTAATTAATCCTTTAGGTTTTGTTTGGTTCTGCAAATTAAATGGATTCTCAACTTTTATGGTATGGGATGCACATGCATGATACACACCATTCACTCATTTCTAATCTTTCATATATAGATCCTCTATATCTATTTGCCAATATATACCAATTATTATTTACTAGATTTCTTTATTTTTATTTTTTATTTTCAACATTAGGGTTTGATATTAACACCTTTTTTTCTTTTTGTAATGGGATTGAGCTAGATGTTTTCCTTGTTGTTGTTCAATTACCAGTTTACCCCTCACACCGGGCACCGGGCTTTTACGTTTTTTTGTCATCAACTCCAAATGGAACATGCTTCCCACTTCTTAAGTACCAAAGTTCTCATTTTCAACCGGAGGGCAATTCTGTCGCTGATACTTTAACTATCTTGGGGCCATTATCCGGGAATTCACAACGACTCTTCCCCATCATATTTGTCAAATGGTTCATATGGACCTGACTAGCTGGATTTCGTATAATTTTTTTTTTTTTGTAATAGCTTGCTCGTGTGACAAATTATGAACTTATGAGTTTAGTATGCACCGTACAAAACACGTGGTACAAATTCATTTTTAGAGATAGGCGATGAGAGGGTGCGATAACTAGTAGGTGGTTTGTTGGATATATACATGACCACACGTTGTTGGATTGTGGTCTTTTTTGTTCGACATTATTCGTAAGATTATGTGTTATTTACAGTTTGATGGTCTATTTAACCCGCTTGGTGGGTGTTTGATAGTGGACATACTTTTGCTATGAATCAAACTCAGTGACATCAGCTCTTATACCACTTGTAGAAGTTCAGACGCTACTAGTACTAGTAAAATTAATTGGCAGTAAAAAATGTACATACCCTAGTTTTATAATGCATTCAGTACACTCTGCCTATGACATTCGATTGTGACCCATCCGCACTCGGCACCGCGTCACATGGCAATTTATGCCAAACTCAAGCTAACACAAACAATGTACATAAATACATGATAAAATATTTTCAATTGGAAAAAAAAAAATTGCAAAATATATAATTAGATAATGGATTTTTTTTCTAATATCTTTTTAGGGTTTCTCTTCAGCATGTAGCTAGAATAAAAAAAAAAAGAAAAAAAAAAAAAAAAAGAAATCAAATGGCAATGATGATGAATCTTGGTTGCAAATCTCATCCTCTCTCTCTGCATCATCATCATTGTGATTATGGTGATTATTGTGATTATTGTGAATATTGTAGGTAGGGAGGCCCTATTTGACTTTTAGGATGAAAAAAAGCTTGTTACCTTTCCCACTCTCCTTTAAATCACTTTCATTATTTATACCCCACTTCATTATTTATTTTCCACCCACCTTTTCTTTTCACAAGTTCCAAACAAACCCTATAAATAATATTGTGACCATCTCTTCAATATTACACACACATTTTTTTGGTGGGGTATATATATATATATATATATATATATATATATATATATATATATATATATATATATATATATATATATATATATATATATATATATATATATATATATATATATATATATATATGTATATGTATATAGTTATTTATA